AACAGACTTCAACACAAAAATCGAAACAAAACACAACAAAACAAAAAACTAAGTACGCATGCAATACTCTGATGAATTTCTAAATTAAATATTTTAAAAATCTATTTACAGTATATCAGTAAAAAAAGACCACCATTAAAGTTGTCTTGTGAAAATATCCATGAAAAAAACCTCGTGAAACTTTCCTGGTTCCAAAAGAGCCTACTGAGTGATACTTGGATAATAACTGAACTATGAAAATTCACAATGCCAAATCTCAGATTCCCAAATCATGGTATTTTGTTTAACCTTCACTGACCACTTAGTTAGTGGGAAAATAAAAGTGATGAATTTTAAGGGCCTCCTTCTTTCTAATCCTAGACACAATGGTTCTAAGTGTGACGTGCAGAATAACAACAGTATGGTATCTGGTTATTTGTTGGAAATGTATGTTTTCAGGCCCTTCCCTAGACCTACCACAATATCATAAACTCTATTTACAGGGTTCAGAAATCTGTATTGTAACAAGCTCTCCAGATAATTTCATGCATGCCAAAGTTTGAGAACCATGGTCTAGACTATCAATGTTTTGAAACCTTTGAATCTCTGTTTTTCTGCTGTCATACACAAGCTCCTTAAAACTTGTCATTTTAAGAATGTCTTCCCCATGCTGCAATAATTTGATCGCTAGAAAGAACTTTTAATGACAAGTCTCATTTTTCCCTGTCCAGTATTCCATGAATTTTGGCCCATGCAGAACTAGCATAATATTTAAATACAAATTGCTATAATTTAATGTTAGCCTTAACTATCACATTTCGCTGACTCCAAAATTTTGAGATTTCATTTTTAAAATAAATCTCATCTTTCTCATACCTAAATAATGTATTTTTTCATCAGTAATAAAACTTATGATTCAGTATTTTATTTCTTGTACAATTAACGCTTTATGGAATGTCGTATATATCCTGCATTTTCTTTTTTATTTTATTTTTTTGAGTTGGAGTCTCACTCTGTCGCCCAGACTGGAATGCAGTGGCCGCTCCAGGCCACCGCAGCCTCGACCTGCTGGGCTCCGGCGACCCTTCCGCCTCAGCCTTCTGAGTAGCCGGAATTACAGGCATGCGCTACCACGCCCAGCTGATTTTTTGATTTATTATAGAGATGAGGTCTCGCTGCCCAGGCGGGTCTCGAACCCGCGGGCTCAGGCAATCCACTCATCTCAGCCTCCCAAAGGCGCGGGATTACAGGCTGAGCCACCAAGCCCGGCCCTGCATTTTCTATAAACAAAAAATCCTAATACTTCAGAATACATGTTTTTTAATGTGGTATGCATATTAATCATTTCATGCTTATTCTTTTGTCCCATTACTACAGTTTGCACTGTAAAGCTAATGTGCCAACAGGCTTTGTATTCCTTTCTCCCCAGATAACAAAAAGTGGGAATGCTAGGAATAGCTTAAAAAAATGAATTCTTTGTTTCACTCTGCACGGATGCACTGAACTTACATTTCCCAAAGGAGAAAGAAGAGATTCAAAAGGAAATAAGGGTCACAATATATATGACAAATGTTTAAGGAATCAAAATGTTTGAACTACAAGGTCAGATACTGTACAGAATTCTAGAAGCTGTTGTAAGAAAAGAAAATATTGAGGGGTAGATTTTAATCTAAGACACACAACACACATTTCAGACAAGTTTGCAAATGTATTAAACAAAGATGTGCTTGCTTGTTTGCAATTAGAATTTGGCAATTTATAATCTATTTAAAACCTTTCACAAAGAGATGGTGAAATGGAAGAATGTCAGTATTTATATTTTAGAAACAGTGGGAAAATCCTAAGAAATTCAGAACTCAAAAGTGCCAATATTAAAACTGTAAAGTTATGAGAGAGAGAATGCTTATAATGCTTCTTCAGTCAACAACAAAAAAAAAGAAAGAAAGAGAGAGACAGAGAGAGAGAGAGAGAGAGAGAAAAGAAAAGACAGCTCCTAAGTTTAAAATAAAATGTTTGCATTACAGGAATATCCGTAGACATTTTAGCCAGACAACTGTAAGGTTTTCAAACAGATAGATAACCTGCCAGGTCAATAAGAACAGTATGCATCAGGAACTACCTCAAGGGATTCAGACCAGGCTGGAGGCAATCCCAAAGGCAGTCTGTATTTTTTAAGTGCCAAAAGAGAAGGACAAAATTGGAAGAAGTCAATAGGAGAAACAGAAAGAAATTATTAGGCACCTTTCTAAAAACCTGCCCAATTTAACACAATTTATCCTTTGTGCCTGGAATGCAAAGAAAAAATGAATAGCCTCTGAAACTTTATTAAAGGGGAAAAACAAAACAAAACAAAAATCACAGAAGAAATGATAAGATCAAAACTCTAGTGTTTAACAGTTGAAAGCAAACATGGATTATAAGATTATATATGAAGGGGATTCAGGTTGTGATTTAATATTTATATGACAATACCACTGCTGAAACATTTCCCAGCGTAAAGCCTACAATTTCTCTAAAAAGTTATTTGAAGTTCCACATTTATAAGATACTATCATTAATCCACTTCCTATAACCAACTTGGTATGTAGGTAAAGGGAAAGCAAAGCAGTTCTAAATCAAGCAAGCGTAAGGCATCTCTAATTTTCACAACTGAAAAAAGAAAACTTCCCAGACAGTCAAATACCCCAAATCCGCAAGCCAAAGCATTAAAGTTTACACCAGTGTGATAGTGATTATTGCATCCCAAATGCTAACCTTACAAATTACCACACACGTGAACAATTCAACTCTATATTAAGATTGGGTCAATATTTATGCAATCAAACTAAATAAAGTATCTCTGTGTGTTAGATTCTGAACTAGAACCCCTTAGTACATTGAAGTTATTAAGAGCTCTAGGAGGCAGGAGGATGACAAAAATGACAATATTTAACTTTCATCAAACATTTGCAACTAATACACAGTGGCTCTGTTCTTGGAATGGGGCCAATGCATTTGATTCCTTTTTTGATCAAAGAGGATTTACGATAGGAAGCAACTAGAAAACTTTCAAAATATTTTGGAAAGGAATTATATTGAGTTCTTTTAATCTTTCTTGGAAAAAGAAATAAATGGAAGGTGCAAAAGGAGAGAAAAAAACAGGTTTGCTACCACCTGTTCTCATTAAGAGAGGCTTTTTTTTTTTTTTTTTGCATAGTTCCTCTCACAATTTTTAAACCGCTGTCCACCTATTCATCCCTCAGGGATTAATTAAACAATACTATACCAAAATAAAACTCAAACAAACAAATAAAACCATACATACAAAGATGAAAGAAAAATTAATCTAAGATACAGATGCTTAAGAAGATTTATGAAGGAGGAACAGATTGGGTAAGATCTTTAAGGTTAAAAGAGAAAGCTTTCTGATACATATTTTCCAAAGGGGGAGTGCAATTAGAAGAATGTGAGATAAGCATCTAATTAGTCCTTAATTAAAACAAGGAGGGATGCCCATGATTCAGAGCAACAACAGGTTGCCCATCTCCTCCAAATAATCTAGCGTGAAGCCAGGTTTCCTTAAAGAGAATTCACAGTTCTCCTATTAGCATTTTTAGATACATTTTCCACTGGAAAAAAATTATGAGAAATATTTAATTGTTGAAAATAAAATGTTTCTAGGTTCCATCTTTTTTAATGTTCTCCCTTTTCCAGTGCTCCTTGTCCTAATCCTGAAATCCTTCCACCCAGAGTTCTTGCATTCTCCCTCTCTATGTTAATGAAAACACACCACACTGATTTTAAGAATCTTGCTAGATTTCCATTTGTTTTGCCTCAGCTCCTACATTAATCCAAACAATAAGGGCCTTTAAAACATTCATAAATAACCTGCTGCTGCTGGCACCTAGGAGCCAACTGCAGCAATGTTAAGCAACACAAATTTCATAGTTCAAGAGGCACAGTTAAGGAAAAAGGTTGCTCAGAAAATCACTCTTATTTCGCACAAAGATCCTTAAAAATTGCACGAAATCAGTCAAGTAACTATAGAAACCAATTTCTTCAGCTCCATATCACACGTCTCACACCTCAATTGTCTTTATTATCGTCTGCTGTCAGATCCTTAATCAGAAATGTGAACAGGCTTGATGATTTATTCAGGAGGGAAAAGAATCTGTAGGTCAAGTGAAAAATTTCACACACACACACACACACACACACACACACACACACACACACACACCCATACACATGCCACATCTTCAACCTTAGGTACTTTCATTTCATTCTGTTCTCAGCAGCTCTGGGGGCAACTCCAGTGAGATCCAATATTAAGGCTCAATTAAAATAAGCTCCAATTAGTGGAGCTTTTTTCTCTGGGGCTAGAAAAGTCAGGAAATGGATATTGGGAAATGTAAAAAGTCAGCTACTGAGAGGAGGCTGCAGACATAAATGAACTTATTTGTTGATTTCTACAGTTGCTATGCAGAGGCCTCTGGGAGTAAAAGCTTAACCAGTCTAAGCTATAAACTAAAACCCCTGCAGCTAAACATGAACTGTGTGAAACAAGGGCTCCATTCCAGAACAGAAAACTGCTGGGCCCAGAAAATTAAAAGCCAGAGGCGTTTTCCATTTAAAACTAAATCCCAGTACCGCCTCCCAGCCAAAGAATTATAAGCAGTATCAGATTTACAAAACGAACAATTACCCTGGAAAAATGTAGCCTATTGTACAGTCCCAGATGCTAAATCTCAAAAGTTGCTTTTTTTTTTAATCCCACATTATATTCCTCCAAGTACACTGCTATAGTTTACAAAGAGCCATTTCTAGACAGGCCTAAGCCTTGAAAATAAATTTTAAAAAGAGAGCACATAACTCATTGACCTCATTTGAAGTACTGCCCTTGCCTTTAGCAGTTCCTGTCCTTCCCCAAGGCTTCTGCAAATGGTATGCAACAGCAAAATAAACCCTGACCTAATTGCCAGGAGAGAGCTGCCAACCTTCCCTCAAACACAAAGACAAGCATGGTAACTTGAAAGTCCTACCTCTTTGGCTTTCTGCTTTAATCTCAGCTGTTCTGGATCTTCTTTATTGGAACGGCTCTATCAAAGGAAAAGAAAATTTTAATAGAAATTACTAGCATCTAAACACCATAGTTGCCGTTAAATATTTAATAAATGACAATTTTCTCCTGTGATTGAATATCTTAGCTCCAGGGGAAAATGCCTCAATCCAGTCTAGCTGCACTCCCACCCTAACTCTCCCCTCCCCCTCATCATCTAGGCAGGCTGCTGCAGTTCTAGCCCGGAGGAAGCTTATACTGAAAATGATGCTAACAATGTCAGTCAGGTCCAGTTGAGGCATGACGTTGTTCTTGTTGATACACTGGAAACTAAAAAACGGATGGTACAGATGAAGGAAAAGGAAGAAAGAATAATTGTTGGCTCAAATGAATGAAAACAATCAATACTGGCTGATCTTCAGGTGAAGCCATTTTGGAAAAACATACAGTATTTCAAGGACTATTAAAATCAAGAACCTGACTAACCCTGAACCAAATCGCTTCTGTTAATAACATAACTTCTAAAAGCATAAGTAGCAAATACATCTCAGTACTTTAATGAGAATAGCTTACCATCTTTGGGTCCTCTCTAGCACTTAATAGAATGCTGTGTCTAAGTAAATGATCGATAAATGCCTATTAGATGTCACCTTCTATAATACAGGACTAGAAGAAGAAGAGAACTATCTTCTATAAAGCTGTGATGGAACAAAGTTATTTAATGCATATAAATCTGAATTTTGTTCTATAAAAATGCGACCATAGCTAATTAAGTTAATTATAGTTAACAAAATAAAAGCTAAAAGTATTTTCATATTTACTAAATTTTTCTGATACTTTTACTATTTATCAGTACCTCTGTTAAAGAAAAACACAAGAGATAGTCTGTTTAGATCTGAGTGCCTTCTGACTTCAAACATCTTAATTAACTACCTATACAAGGCTGTACCCAAAGCTTGTAATATTTTTCTTCATTTTTAGTCCCCAACTACTAAAACAATTTCACTTCAACACAAAACTAAGATATACTCCTTTGTTAAGTCTATGAGGAGAAAATGAGTGTGTATATATTAATATATGTATTTATGTAAAAATATGCATATATGTGCATAAATATATATGTATGTGGGTTTATATATACTTTTTCACCCTGTATAAAATGGGCACATATAGACATCAAGTCTTTATCACTTATCCAATATTTATTGGTCATCCATAGTACAGATTCTATTCTGTGTGCTACCCTTCTAGGCCCTAAGATACAAAGATGAAAAAACTAGACAAAGTCCTTGCTCTCAAATAATAAAACAATTTTATAAAAATCAAATAATGGTTGATACTAACAAGTGCTATAAAGAAAACAAAACAGAATAATGTGATAAAAAGAAAGAGGAGTGTGATGGTTACTTCTCTAGCTAGGATGGCAGGGAAGGCATCTGTGAGAAATGACACTTGAATAACAAGAAAGAGGTAGTCATGTAACAATCTAGGGAAGAAAACATCCCAGGCAGGAGACAGTAATTGCTAAAGCCTTAAAATGGATCCGGTTTAGGTATACACGGGAAAAGAAAGATGGCCCATGTGGTGGAAGCACAGAGAAAAGTTGGAGAAAAGAAAGGTTGGAAATTATGTGTTGCCTTATGGGCGATGGTAAGGAGTTGGAGGTTTAATTCTAATTTTTTAAAAACACACGGGAGAGTTTGCAGCACACGAAGAAGATGCCAATTATGTGATATTTTCAAGAGATGGCTCTGATAGCTATGTAGAGGGTACGCTGTAGGGATCCAAGACTGGAAGGCACAGGCACAGAAGCAACTGGGAGACTGCTCTAAAACAACAGTTGTGAATAAGAGACTGATAAAAAAGATAAAGGTGGCTTGGACCAGCATCACAGCAGAGATGATGACGATAAATGGTTAGATTCAAAATTATTTTGCAGGTAAGACCTATCAGATTTGTTGATGGACTGAATATAGAGTATGAAGTAGAGAGGAATCAAGGATGACTCCTAGGATTTTGGCCTAAGCAACTGGGAGGTAGTAATTTCAAGATTCTGAAAGGGTAATGATCTAAGAAACAGCAGATTAGAGGAAGGGAATGCAATGTTCAGTTCTAGATGCCTAATTAGGAGTCTAATATCCTAAGATGGGCACAAGCATGGCCACACTGGGAACAGAAAGTCAGTGTGACTGGAGAGGAGTGAAGGGAGTGAGATAAGAAAAGCTCAGAGAGGGAGGCAGGTGTCAAACAACATAAAGCTTAAAAGCTGGTAAGAAGTTTGGATTTTAAGTGCAACAGGAAGCCACTGACGGTTTTTAAGCATCAAAGGAACACATGAATTCCTACAAAAACATTATTCTGACCACAGTATGAAAAATGGATTGTAGAAAGAAAAGGAGACCAGCAAGAAAATATTATAAAAGTCCAAATGAAAGATGAATTAGACTAGAGTAATGACACTAGCGATGAAGAGAAAAAGATGAATACATTTTGGAAATACTACAGGCAGTGAATTGGATGTAGGGAGACAGGAGACACAGATGACTCCTAGGTTTTCCGGCTTGTTTTCGGCTTGAGTGTCTGGTGCCATTTATTTAGTTAGAAAAACCTATGAGAGTAAAAGTATTTAGAGAGGAGAGAAATATCAGGAGTTCTTTTGGGTGTATGTGAAATGCCTATTAGCCAATGAAGTGATGTCAAGTAGAAAGTTAGTTGTATGAGTTCAGAGTTCTATAATGTAGGCTGAATAAGAAATATAAACTTCAGGGAATGAGGACAAAGAAAAAGACCTGGGACTGAAGCCTGGAAAACTCTGACATTTAGAAATCTAGTAAAGGAGGAAAAGACAAATGAGATTGAGAGCACTATAACACAGTATATCCAACAGGAACTAAACTAGTATTTAATAGTTTATGACCTTGTTTACAGCATAGTCATTGGAAATAAAATACCAATAAACCACCTCACAACAATGACTAATTGCCTGTTTGTTTGCTTACAATACTTGAGGGCTCAAGAAAAAACATCTCCCAGTCCCCTCTCCCTGCCCTTCCCAGTAAGGGGGATGGGGAAGAGGTAAGGGGTGGACTGAGACTGTGGGACTGCAGGAAATCACACAGTGACAAGGGTATGGTACTCCACATCACTGTGGAGGCATAGGGCACATGAAGGTATAGACCACTAACCAAGCATATGAAGTGGTGAGGGATTTGGAAGCCTCATCAAGGAATCGGTCAGTGGGCATGGTGGCCAACTACATGGATAATGAAATGGTAGAGGAAAATAGTAGCAGACAGAGGAGTCTGCCAGCATGGCTAGTTGAGGGATTAGTTATACTGATCAAATAAGTAACCTGACTGAGGGCATAAGCAAAAATATCAAGGAAAATAGGTACTAAGTTTTCAACTACTGGAGAAAGTTTTCACAAACATGAAAAGGTTAATGGTAAAAAGAACCCTGAGGTACTAGATTGAAGTTGGAGGCATCCATGTGAACTCCTAGTTTCATAACATATACACAAAGATAGAGAAATAGTCACAGATGTACATTTGTGGGTATATATACATGTGTACATATATACATATCATACATATATTTCCTAAATCTGCCTATTGAGAGAGTCTACATGCAATGTCAACCTGTTAGCAATGAGTACACTGCATGATCTAATTTTGGTTTCTGAAGGTCATCCTCTACTAAAATAAGGCAAGGTTCCTTAGAGAAATGGCTCATTCCAGGGCTAGGTCAAGAAAAGTAAAAGTTGGATCTAAAATACCTTGTACCAGAAAGGACATGCTCAGTGAGTCAGGGACACATGACTAAAGGACAGAAGTGCAAGTTGGGAATTCCACTCAGGGGCAATTTGAGCATTAAAACAGATGACAGAAATGGATTGCAACCTGTTAAATCAAAAAGAGAAATCCAGAGCCCATACTGATATGAATATGTAAGAAAGAAAAGCTCTTCTATACAAAGTGTTACTAAAGGTAGGATAGTTGATGGGAATAAAAACCCACCATTTAGCAACCATCATAGAGGTGGTGTACTGAGGCAGACATCACAACAGATGCTAAGGTTGACACGTGGGGGTTTGATAAGGAATAGGACATTGGTATGAACTCAGACTACTTTCCTACAAAAATACCAATCACTTACAAAGCTGAAAATGGCAAATTTAAAATGGAGCGAACTGGTAGGCATCCACATGACCCTTTTGATATGATCAGCTGTGAAGAACATAGCCTCATTTCTGTGCATTCCTGCAAATAATGCATGACCTAAGTCAAATTATAAGAAAATACCAGATGAACACTAGGTAGAGGGCCATCCTATAGAAGGTAAGGTCTATATTCTTGAAACTGTCAAGGGCATAAAGAAAAAGAAAGATTAAGAAATTCTGACTGAAGGAATCAGAAGACAACTACATGAAATACATATTTCTGAGTAAGAAAATGGACCATGAAGGAAAAATACACTGAGTTGAGCCAGCTGGTGAAACTGGGTCTGTGCATTCAATGGCAGTGTCATACTGTTTGCTTCCTGACTTGTAGGGTTATGTAGGAGAATGCCCTTGTTTTAGCAAATACATATGAGAATGTTCAGCGGTATTGGGACATCATGTCTGAAGACTACTTTCTAAAAGTGTTAAAAAAAAGAAAAAGAAAAAGAATGAGTGCTTATAGCCATACAGCTTTGTGAACATACTAAAAACCTCTAAATCAAGAAAGTAAGTATAAAAATAAGAGAGAGAGAGAGAGAGAGAGAAGGCAGGGAGGGACTAATGACTGTGTGTGTGTGTGTGTGTGTGTGTGTGTGTACAGAATGTGTGAGGAGAGGGTGGAGTAAATGCAGTCAAGTGTTAAAATTGTGTGTGTGTGTACAGAATGTGTGAGGAGAGGGTGGAGCAAATGCAGTCAAGTCTTAAAATTGAGGAGTCTGGGAATGAGGGATGAAAGTTCTTCATATAGTCCTTGTAACTTTTCTGTAAGCATGAAATGATTTCAAAATAAATCAATTTTTAAAAAACAATTGATATGTGATTAGGAGCAAATACTCTAAAAAGAGGCCATCAAGAACATGAGAAATTAAAACTAAGGTGTTTGAAGCAAAAATTAAGACTAGTGCTCAGCCTTTGGGACTTCTTGCAACAGCTCCATGCCTATGAAGAAGTGTGCAGCTACAAAATATAAACTGTGGTGGAACTAGCTTTTAACCCTGGCACTAACAGTCCAGGAAAAAGTTTAAATAAGAAAGAAAGGAAAGAAATACATAGCCTCACTATTCTTATACTCTTTTTAACCCAGTTCTAGCCAGTCTATATTTTGTGTCACATAATCCAAATTACCAATTTTATCCATAATTCTCCTGTCTATTGTCCAAATTTCCCTCTCTCAATTTCAACCTGGCACTACCAAATCAGATCCCTAGAAGATCCTGAAAATCTTATGAAACACTTTATGGGGGTAGGGGGTAAGAGGGAAGCACACAGGAAATGTGAAGAGACAAAAGATTATAACTCATTAAACTAAATTAACTGAAAGCCACTCAACCACACCACCCTGGCTGTGAGACAGCCTATACGTAATTTCATTGTAGGCAATCCTCTGGAGAAATCTAAAGGCCTAATAAAACCAAGACAGTCAACCAATGATAAAGCCAATTTTGAGTGTACTGCCAGATCATGTTCGCTCACAGATCACCCAGACCCTTACCTTGGCTGCCTTAAGTAACATTTCTCTTTCTTCCAAATCCTTTCTCTGTTTCTCCAGTTGATCCAGCTTTTCAAGAAATTTGAGCTGTGACCTGGTATCACTAGATAGAACGTAACTTTCACTTGCCTGGGAAAAAAAAAGGTCTTATAATGATCCTGGGTAACATATTCTATATTAGGTATTTTTATAAATAAGCTAAGGATAGGAACATCAACATAAATAGGAATCTAAATTTTCAGAGGGTAATGTTTGTGAAACAAGTTTATCCAAAAAAAGGAAACCTGAGAAGTGATTAACCAATTGTTTCAAAGTTCTTTCCTAGTAAACCTCATTATAACAGGGAAAAAAGGAATTAATCCAAGCGGATTCTTCCAACAATAGGAAGTAGAAAACAAGAGAGTGTACCATTTACCTATAGTCTCAATCTTTTTAGTTAAATTATTATCTACTTCTGCAAACTTTAATATGAGTAATTAAATCTTAGGCCTATGAAAGACAAGAAGCAAGAAATAATCACTTCACTGAAAAATATACTAAAGATGAAAGTTATCACCCTGGCTACCATAGTTGGATTCATTTAATCTTGACAAGTGAATACAGCTTCTATCAAAGTATAGCATAAAACAAGAGAGTAAATATCAAAATCCAGAAACCCTGTTTTGAGGATTCCCTTAAGATGTAAATTTGGACAGAAACTGTAGTCAAAGAAATTAAGTATACATATAATTTATAAATGAGAGCCATAGCAGATAGGTACAGTTATCTGTCTTAATTGTTAAATAAAATAATAACATTCAAATTATTCTATTTACTCTAATATTCCATAATGTAAAACAGTGCTTTTCAACCTAAATATTTTCTAATTTTCTTCACCTACATGACTGCCTAACTCCTCTGTAACTCAGATGTGAGTGTGTGTATGCTGACAGGCGAGGGAGCAGCTGGGGGATTTTTAACAATATTTAAAACATCTTGCCATCTACTCCTCTCAGTAACTCAGACATCTCACAGTGAAACTGTATAGTAGAAAAACAAAATGTTTTTAAACAACTAGAACAGTCAGTGCCTGGCCTAGAAATCTCGGGTACAGCACCACTCCCATCTTTGTTTTATCCCCATGCTTATGGCTGATTGAATTAACTGGGACTGAGAGATTTCATATGCCCAAGATTCTTTTTAAATTAAATTTTTATTGTTGGTATTTAACTAGATCAAAAGAGTATTACATAGTTTAAGGAACAAGGATGTATTAGTGCTACTTACTTTAGTTCATGTTTAATACAAAAGAATTCCCAAATGTTTTTAAAGTTAAATAACACAAGATAGAATATGGAATACATTACAGGCTAACCATAGAGGTTAAACATAACCACCAGTGGTTTCTTAAATACTTCATCTTTACCATTTTTGTGTTCAGACACTCTGGAAGTAGTTTATTGACAGGATTTAATTTAAAAGGGACAACAAATACTAAATTAAAAAGGGGCACAAACTTTAATCACATTCCCATGCTAAGATGCCTTTCTTTCTCACCCTACTCAGATCCAACTGCCTCTGACATATGCATTCTTTTTCCCTTTCAGACACTACTAAACAAATGAGTGCCTCCCATATTCATACTGAGTCCCCAACCGTATTTAAACAACAGTAATACCAATCTTATCATGATCCTTCCTGTATACCCAGCTGGCCTAGCTAACTGAAGACTTCATGCACCAACAGAGTAGGGCATTACAGCGTTAGGGCCACTATATATGAAATGGTTTAACCGTGAAAATATAATGATTCAGACCAAATGATATCAATACCATCAAACGAATCTCATCTGAAGGAGCCAGTACAGCACCTTTCAACTAGAAAATACTGAACCTTCTCCATGGCCACAGGCATGCAGAAGGCGATAATGTATCTTCAATGGGAAAACACCTGGCAGCAAGATCAAAAGCTTGGTACTACATGTCACTTTCTACTTATATACTTAAATCTCAATTTATGACCTGTGATTAGAGAATTATATTGAACCAGGTGAAAGATTATCAAAAATAAATGCATATTCCAAAGTGGAAAGAGATGGAGGGATTTTGCTTTTAATAACAAGAGCTTGCTTTTGAAAATTCACTGAGTAGAATTTCCTACACTGTATAGATAAAAATAAATCCTGTCAGGGATGAACTGAATATAAGAACAGGGTTAAATCTGTAACACAAAGATTATTACAATAAAGTATATAAAATAAAGGTGATTTTGAACTAGATCCAGATATAACTAAATGGTTATTATTTCTACTTTAAAGAGGGATGATAATCTTTTCTGCCTTTTTTATAAGTAAATTCAGACAGTGGCATTAGCTGTATTAAGGAATGAGTGTCGGGGAAAGGGGGACAGGGGAAATCAGTCAAAACAGGCAGTATTCAAGACAGAAGATTAAGGTGTTAGCTTTAAGCTAAATTATTAAGGTGGGAGAGATGCTATCCATTTTGCCCAAGGCAAGTAAATCCTTGGAACATATGCTATTGATATACAACAGAAGAATTCCATCTGAGGCTATACACAATAGAGCTTTGAATGGCACTCAATAAACATTACTTGGACAAATCCTATTTCATAACAAATTGTATATATTATGTTTTTTATAAAAACTGTCCACTATAAATGAAGATGTATTCATGTATCTCTGAAACAACAGTGTGACTGAGACAGGAGTAGGAAAAATCCAGGTTTGAAAAATTATAAGAGACTTTAAAGTCAAAAGGAAAACTACAATCTCCCTAAGTCGCAAAATTAAAAGTAAGCTGGTATCAATTCAAACTAGATTATTATAGACTTTGGATGTTAATTGTAATCCTCATGGTAACCACTAAGAAAATATCTAAAATATACCTAAAAGGAAATGAGAAAGGAATCAAAATGGTACAAGACAAAAAAAAAAAAATCCAATTAAACATAAAAGAAGGCAGCAATAGAGTAAATGAGGAACAAAAAAGCTATGAGCCATAGAAAACAACAGCAAAATTGCAGAAGTAAGTTCTTTCTTATCAGTAATTACATTTTAAATGTAAATGGATTAAACTCTCCAATCAAAAAGTAGTGACTGGTGGGTAGGGCTACAGTGGCTCAAACCAGGGCATAGCAGCTCACACCAGCACTTGGGAGGCTGAGGCAAGAGTATTGCTTGAGTCCAGGAGTTCAAGACAAGCTAAGGCAGCAAAGCAAAACGTTTATAAAAACTAAAGAGTAGTGACTGGCAGAATCGACAATAAACATAATCAAAGTAATATGCTGTCTGCACTTTAGACAAACCATACCAATTGGATGAAAGTAAAAGGATGGAAAAAGATATCCCATGCAAACAATAATCAAAAGGAAGCACAGATAGTTATACTAATATCAAACAACAAAGACTTTAAGTCAAAAACTCTTAAAAGAGACAAAAAAGGACATTACATATTGATAAAAGATTCAACTCATCACGAAGACCTACAAACTAAACCAGAGTTCTCAAATATATGAAGTAAACTGACAGAATTTTATTTTAAAAATAGACAGTTTAGCCAGGCTCGGTGGTTCTGCCTGTAATCCCGTGCCTTTGGAAGGCTGAGGTGAGTGGATTGCCTGAGCCCGCGGGTTCGAGACCCGCCTGGGCAGGTGAGACCTCATCTCTACAATAAAATAAAAAATTTAGCCGGGCATGGTAGCGTGCGCCTGTAATTCCGGCTACTCGGAAGGCTGAGGCGGAAGGATCGCCAGAGCCCAGCAGGTCGAGGTTGCAGTGGCCGGGAGTGGCCACTGCACTCCAGTCTGGGCGACAGAGTGAGACTCCAACTCAAAACAAAAAAAAAATAGACAGTTTTACACCCAGGGCAACATAGTGAAATCCTGTTTCTAAAAAAAAAAAAAATTAGCCTAGTATGATGGCACACATCTGTAGTCCTAGCTACTTGAGAGGCTGCAGGAGGATCCCTTGAGCTCAGGAGTTCATGCCACTGCACTTCAGCCTGGGTAACAGAAGTAGACCCTGTCTCTTAAAAAAAAAAAAGACAGTTCTACAACAGATGAAGATTTTATTACCCCACTTTCAATAATGAATAGACTATCTAGTCAGAAGGTCAATAAAGAAATAGAGAACTTAACACTATAAACCAACTGCATCAAACAGACATGTATGAAACACAACAGCAACAGAATATATTTTCTTCTCAAGTTCATATGGAACATTCTCCCGGATGTACCATATGTTAGGTCATAAAATAAGTTTCAATGAATTTTAAATTATTGAATCAGACAAAGTATCTCCTCTCACCACCATGGAATGAAATTAAAAGTCAGTAACAGAGGGAAAACTGGAAAATTCACAAATATGTGGAAATTAAACAATACATTCAAATAACCAATGGATAAAAGAAATCTCAAAGGAAATTAGAAAATACTTAGAAAATGAAAACGACAGCACATCAAAACTTATAAAATGCAGCAAAAGCAGTGCTCAGAGGGAAAGTTATAGCAGTAAATGCCTACGTTAGAAAAGAAGGATCTCATATCAACAATTTAACTTTACACCGATGGAACTAAAATAAAGAAGGATAACCTAAAACTGAAGCTTGGAGGGAAGAAAATAATAAAGACTAGAGCAAAGATAAATGAAACAGAGAATTGAAAAACAAAAGAGAAAATTAATGAAACCAAAAGCTGGTTCATAGAAAAGATCAACAAAATGTACAAACCACTAGCTAGACTGACAAAGAAAAGAAAAAAGAATACAAATAACTAAAATCAGAAATGAAAAGGGGATAGATCATCTCCACGGCAACTTGGATGGACTTAGAGTCTATAATACTGACGGATCTATCACAGAAACAAAGAACTGAGTATCACATATTCTCACTCATAAGCAGACCTTGAACAATTATCATAATACTGTAAGAAAAAGATTGGCAGTTGTCAGAGGTGAGGGTGGGGGAGGCGGGATTGACAGTAGTGGGAATCTGCAGGGGGAGGGGAGGGGCACACCTCATCAACAAGGGTACCTGCAAAATGAACATCTGTATACCTAATCCCAAATTGTACCCCACATTTTTAAAATAAAAAAAACTTAAATTAAAATTAAAAAACAAAAAAAGAAAGGGGGATCATTACTACTGACCTTACAGAAACAAAAAGGATTATAAGCAAATATAGACAGTTTTATGCCAACAAATTAGATAATCTAGGAGAAATGAAAAAATTCCTAGGAACACACAAATAGAAATACTGATAGTAACTTTTTGGTTTTTTCCCTGTACTTTTTCTCCTGTTGATCACATATTAAGTCAATCCAGTAAATTCTCACAAAGATTTATGCAAATGAGGACCTCAGCAATTATATACTGTTTTTCCAAAGTTGTAAGTGAAGTATAAAAGAAAGGAAATAGAATGATTCCTCCAGGGAACTTACTAGCACTGTTGTAGCTGATATTTTCCCAGATTTCTTTTAGCCTACGACTAGACTATCATGGCAATGACCATTCTTGCAAACTCAAAATCTCATAAGGTTACCTACATACTATCATGGTAAGAAAAAAATATCTAGCTATCGGGGTAAAGTAAGGGTTATCTTATTTTTTTTAACCCAGGTTATCTTTTTTTTCCCCCACCACTAATCACTCAATATATTTACCCTCCTCTAAAACAATTCCAATGCTCCAAGTGCTTTCACCTTGATAGCAGCAAGTCATTTGGGACACAGTACTGGGAATAAGACAGGTTATTCTTGCAGTTAGTTTTGTAATAAAAGTAGCCAATAAGTGGCATCAGTGTTAGCACTCAATGCAATCACTTAATTTATTAAAAGGAATAGAAGATGAGCAGGTTGAAAGATCTAATGTAGAACATAAAGACTATAGTTGACAATTAACTGTATTCACGATTCTTGCTAAGTGAGTAAATTATAGCTGCTCTTGCCACAGAGGGGGGAAATGGCTAACTATGTGAGATGACAAATATATTTTGTTCAACTATAGAAACTGTTTTATTGTATATGTGTATCTTATAACACGATGTATACTTTAAGAATATACAATAAAACTTACTTTAAAATAAAGAAATCTCTGCAAAACGTAAAGGGGAAAAAAAAGGAACTGGGGTGCTAACAGAGTACAGACTACTATAGAAAATACAAGTAGCCAATATTCCATTCTAACATATCTTCCCTTTCCAATTAAAAGCTTAAGGAGGAGAAGCCTCAGGCAGAATAGATGCCTGCGTATTTCAATCTACACCATATAGGAGCTATGAATACCATTTTAAACACCTCCATTTAAATTTTGTCATGTAAGCATAACTAAATAAGGCAAAATTAAGAATGAGACTTTGATTTTCTACTATATAAAATTCTCAATCATTCCTTTAGAAATATATTTAGAATATAAATCCATGCCCCCAAAACTACCTGTAACATTCAAGTTTGCACTTCTTTAATGATTTCCTTTACCTTATAAGTAGCCATTCGATGCTGAGCAATTGCAGTCAGTTTTTCTAGAAGGCCTCGTAATCGCTCTTGTGTTGCATGGGAGATCAAGTTCACAGCATCAGAGTTAAGTTCTGTAATGTCATGCTTTTTACCTGTGGAAGCAGAGAAAATCCATTACGTGTTTTAGTAGTAGCTGATAATTGAAATAATTAGCACAGCAGGTAATCTGTTCCCCCTGGAAGTCATACCCATTATGAATAAAGGTTTGGAGATTATGATTTTCCTGGTAAAGTCACAACTTCAAAGATCTTAGACATTGCATTAATAAAACCTAGCCCGAAGCCTCAGAAAATATAGACATTGTTTCACTTAGCCTCTAGAATCATTCTCCTCGCAAGGTCATTTATAGGACAAAGTTAATAAGAACACAAATCAAGTTTAGTGTTCAGGGAGGAAAATGGGAACTGCAGAAATTAGTACCGTATTCTGTTAATTTTAGTAATTAAAAAAATAGAAAATTACATTTTGCCCTGTTTGACACTGTTAACAATTTATGACATTCATTTCAACGAATTCAGATTGTGAGTCTCTGTTAATGCCCTGTCTACAAGATATACCTATATATTTTTTTGTCTATCACCAATCATGCTTACTTTACTCTAACTCAAGATCTGATACATTGACCTCGTAATCAATTTACAAGTTCAAATGGTAAGTTTAAAACCTCATCATTACACCCACCTATTTGAATAACTTCTCTCTCACTACATCTCCTTTCCATAAGTAAACCAAACTTATTTTCTTCCTTCTGCTAACTAGCAAGAAAGTTTCAGAAAAACAGTTTGGAGCACTTACTCAGAGGCAGAAGCTCATTTATAAATCAACCTTACTCATATTTAAATATTCTTTCTCACACAGTGAAACTGCCTATATCAACAGAGCCCTAAATCTAAAGATACAGGCTTTCAGGTAGAGCCCTAAATCTAAAGATACGGTTTTCTATTTTAAATGAGGCTTTAAAAGCACTACTGTGATTGTTTTTAACATATTCACAGAAATCTTTAAAAGTTGTTTAATTTTGCATTCTAAATGTTCTGAAACATACTTTTATATTCTTATCAAAGGATGAACAGCTACAGCAAAAATATGCTTCAATTAAAAGCCAACAATTCTTAAATACATTCTTTGACATTATTACACAATAAAACCAAATAGGAAGATATAAAATTATCCAACTTCAAAACGTAATTCATTACTTTGTAGTAAAATGGAATTCCTCTCCAATCTCAGATTCAAGCAGGGAATAAAATACTACAGAGTCAAATTAACTTTAATAAAAACCTCAGCATAAACAAATAGTGGGACCTTCCATAAAAAGGACAGTACAACTTCAAAACAATCCAATGATCAAAATTACAAGTAAACAGTGGGTAGACAGGGGATGACATGCTATTTCATATTTAAATTAAAGAATACCTGTGCAATGAGCATTTGTCTACCTAACCCTGAATTGTACCTCACATTTGTAAAATAAATTTTTTTAAAAAATTAAATTAAAAAAAAAAGAAAATGAGCATTTAAAGATAGTGCTTGGGGAGGAAACATTGAAAATATTCATATGAATTTATAAAACAGATGTAATTCATCTAACATTAAAAATGTTTTAAAATATTAAAAATAAACAAGTGCTGGGATTAAGCAATTCCAGGGCTTAGAGAACAACCAAATGTTCTAATATGTTCCCTAAATTGGTAATAAAACACAACTTAAAGTTACAGAGTTATGTACTATAGAAAAATTCTCACTTTTAAATAAAATACTCTTTCTCCTAGAATGGAAGGGCTTAATGGAGAAAATAAATTTAAAAAATAAATAAATAAAACACTCCTTTTAGTAAAGTCAACATAACTGATTAAGGAGATCTGGTTGGTGCTTGCATGCTAATTATGCTATTTTATTGAATTTCTGTGCTATTTAATTTAGGTAATTAGGGAAAAGAAAACACAGGCGTTTAATCTGCTAACATTATTCAAGTAGAAAAATGTATTTTCATAAAAAATTATTTGGGTAAATTTACAATTTCTGTTTTTAAGGAATAGCGTTGGTTTTATCTATTCTATAAAGATGGGGTTTTACTATAAGTAGAAAACATTCCTAGAAATATATAACTCCATTCACTCTATGGTTTCACTTTTTCTACAAAGCTTAGATAATTTATAAGATTTTTTTGCAGTATTCCATCATAATATGTGACAAGTTTGTACTTCATCACTGAGAACTGAAAATGCAAATAGTTGTCTCTTTATTCTCCTAAATCAGGGGTTGTCAAATTATGGCCAACAGGTCAAATCAGATCTCTCATTGTAAGTGAAGTTTTATGGAAATACAGTTGCAATCGTGTTTGTATTCCCCCACTACAAGGTTTCATGTTGAAACCTTATGTGATGGTATTTGAAGTTGGGTGTTTGGGGAGATAATTAGGTCATAAAGCTACAGTTCTCACAATTGGGATTAGTGCCCTAACACAACAAGAGGTCAGACAGTTAGCTAGCTCTTTCCACCACATGAGAACACAGCAGGAGGAAGGTTGTCTGGAAACCAGGAAGAGGGTCTTCACCAAGAGCTTGACCCCACTGGCGCCCTGATCTCAAAAGTTCAGCCTCCAGAACTATGAGGTATAAGTGTCTATCATTTACACCATCCAGGTATGGTATTTTGTTACAGCAGCCCAAACTGACCAAGACAATAATCTTGCCCATTGGTTTACACATTGTGGCTGTTTTTGCACTGACAGCAGAGTTGAGCAGGTCTGACAGAGATCATGTGACCCACAAAGTGGCAAATATTTACTATTATCTGGCCCTTTGAGGAAAAAAGTTGCTCATTCCTGTCTTAAGTGATCAAAAATGCTCTTTCAGAGCTATACACTTTTCTCGTATAATCAATGTTTAAAACTAGAAATGAAGTTGGAAAAGGAAAGTAATTGCTAAAACCAAGTATCTGCTTATATTAGATAATTATATGGCATTAAGGAGTTAAACTATGAGTAAATTTCCCACGCCATCACAGGAAGTATAGTACTTAGACTTGTTCCAAAATTAAGGAACTGGCTCTTGTACAATACAAAATACACGTGCAAAGAAGAAAGAAGGCAGGGAGGCTGGGAGGCTGGGAGGGAGGAAAAAAGGAAGGAAGGAAAGAAGAAAAAGGAAGGAAAAAAGGGAGAGAGGAAGAGAAGGAGGGAAGAAAAAAGAAAGGAAGGAGGAAAGGGACGGAAGGAAGAAAGGAAGGAGAAGGAAGAGGAAGAAAGAGGGAAGGAAGGAGTAGAAAGGGAGAGAGGGAGAAGGCAGGTAGGTAAAACTAAGAGAAGAGCAAACAAAAAGTTCTTCTGAATTACTATCTTTTGGACTTGTAAATTCTAGCTTTTCACAATAAAAGAAAGACAATGTATCCTCAATTTGAATTGGAAATGTAAAAAAGTAGTCATTCGCATAACATATAAGTAGTTCAAACATTTATTAATTGTGAAGTAGAGCTAAAATATGCAATAATAATAGACTTTGTAGTCTTTAAATACACCATGGATGTATAATCAGAAAGCTTGATATTTTGTATTAAGCCTTCATTATAAAATATAAAGGTTGCTACTCAAGTATATTCAAAGTTCATTAGTACAGGCCCCTAAAATTTTATGCTGATGAAGAAAGAGAGCGGGTCTCTGTTAAGTCTCGGGGTCAAGACACAAGAAATAGTTAAACTCATACACAAAAATTGCTCTCTGATCTGTCTGTTTTTCAGTTAATTTGAGGAGATTACAGTCTTTCACATTACTGTAAGCTTGGGATCAAACAACAGAAAACTGTTTGGCTCTAGAGTAACACTGGGATGCTCTTTTATACACTGCAGCCATCTAACAACTACTGGGCTTAAAGAGGACCCTAAGATTCCAATCCAGTTCTTTTAAAATGAAGATGGGTTTAAATTTCAGGGTTGAGACAAGGAGAAAGGGACTTGCTCTCAACGGCTGTTCCTATATTTCATAAGCACAAACATGTAATACAAGCAGGCATTTGTACAATTTCATGACTAAGGCCAACCAAGAAAGGAATAGGGCAGAAAAAAATTGTATACCATATTATATATTCATGTAAAAATACACTCAACTAGTTTCCAACTAAAAAATTTGAATAAAATATGACCTATTATCTAAAACTCCAAATCATAGGTTATATGATTTAAGTTATATTAATAATTTTAAAAATAAAATGCTCCTTTCTGTAACACTGATGATATTTTGATTTCTACAGCCTTACTTTAAGCCTCAGAGTTCCAGGACAACCAACTCAGTTGTCTCTTGATAATATTTTCCTGCAAACAGACATATCTATTAGGTCAATAATCATAACTCTGAACTTACCAATATCTAAAATTCTCTTTTGCAGAGCTCCAATGAAAAGAAATGGTTCTTCTTTACATGAATGAATGAACGTGCCAACCAATTCAGAGTTTGTTGTTAAGATGTAGGCATTTTCTTCACTGAGGTTGATCCCTGCCATGGAAGTCACATCATTGATGTCATCTTCCTCGCTAATAAAAAAAAAGTTATAGTTTTTTGGTGGTTGGTGCAGGTAGAGACTGGTGTATGAGTGTGTACGTAGTTTCAGAGAGCAAAAGAATCAGAGAGCTCTCCTTATAACCAATAGCATTATTTTACTTAATTCATCCAATCAAGAGCAGAATTGAAGAATGAATACCTTTCCCATATAAGCTTTTAAAATTAATTGGTGTCTCTAACCACTAGTGTACATTTGATATCATTTAGTATGTGTCTTCTAGGGCCCATCATTTTCTTTCTCATTTGAGTAAATGAGAAACATCAAGAGGCATTTGGAGCTACACCAAGGTCATCCATAAATCCTCTACAATAAAAGGCAAAGAAGTATAAAATAAAAGTGCAAAAGACAGTCATATTCCTATATACCAACAATAAACAGAAATCCAAATAAAAAGCACAATCCCATTAACAATAGCCACAAAAAAAAAAAAAAGAAAAGAAATATGTTGGCATCTTCCTAACCAGAGAAGTGAAAGACCCATACAACAAAACCTACAAAACACCACTCAAAGATGATGACACAAACAAATGGAAAAATATTCCATGCTCACAGACTGGAAGAATCAACACTGTTAAGATATCCATCCTACCCAAGGCAATCCACAGATTTAACACAATACCCATTACCACCAGCATCATTCTTCTCAGACCTGTAAAGGACAACACAGAAATTCATATGGAAACATAAACAACCACAAAGAGCCAAAACAATCCTCAGCAAAAGAAATAAAGTGGAAGGTATCACACTTCCAGACTTTAAACTTTATTATAATGCTACAATAATCAAGACAGCATGGTACTGGTACAAGAACAGGGATACAAACCAATGGAACAGGACAGAGATTCTGGAGGTTTCTCAATTTCTCAGCCAACTCATCTTCAACAAAGCCTCCACCAACAACCACTGGGGAGAGGAGAACCTATTCAGTAAATGGTGCTGGGAAAACTGGCTGATCACATGCAGAAGACTGAAACAAGAACCCTACCTATCACCATATTCAAAAATCAACTATAAATAGACCAAAGACCTAAATGTAAAACCTCAAACTGTAAGAACCTTAGAAAATGCTGGAGACACCCTTATGGAAATTGGAACTGGCAACCACGTCTTGATCAAAACCCCAAATGCCCATGCTATAAGAGATAAGATAGACAAATGGCACCTCATCAAACTGAAAAGCTCTGCAAAGCCAAAGAAACCATCAAGAAAGTGGGGAGACAGTCCACAGAATGGGAAAAATATAGGATGTACAAGGAACTCAAACATGCCAAAAAGAAAAAAACAAACAACCCCATTACAAAGTGGGCAAAAGATATGAATAGACACTTCTCAAAAGAAGATATATGAGCAGCCAACAGAAACATGAAAAAATGCTAAGTCTCAATGCAAATTAAAACTACACTGAGATACCAACTAATTCCAGTCAGGATGGCCATCATTAATAACTCCAAAAACAAAAGATGCTGGCGAGGATGTGGGGAAAAGGGAACACTTCTACACTGTTGGTGGGAGTGTAAACTAGTACAACCTCTGTGGAAAACAGTGTGACGATTCCCAAAAGATCTAAAAATCGACCTTCTATACAACCCCATGATCCCCCTTTCTGGGAATACACCCGGAGGAACACAAATCACTCTATGAAAAAGACACCTGCACAAGCTTATTGTAGCATTTTTCACAATTGCAAAAGCATGGAACCAACCATGCTGCCCACTGAAAGAGGACTAAATTTTTTTTAAAAAGTGGTACGTACACACAATGGAATATTACGCACCCATAAAGAAGGACAAAATTATGAACTTTGCAGCAACTTGGATGGACTCAGAGTCTATAATCCTAAGTGATCTATCATAGAAACAAAGAACTGAGTACCATACGTTCTCACTCATAAGCAGACCTTGAACAATTATCATTATACTCTAAAAAAGGGATAGGCAGTAGTGAGAAACTGCAGGGGGAGGGGGGACACACCTCATCAACAAATGTACCTGCATAATGACCATTTGTATACTTGACCCTGAATTGTACCCCACATTTAAAAAAAAAATTTTTTTTAAGTAAGCCTTAAAAAAAAAAGACAAAGGAGTAAAAACAGACATCTTTTTTTCATTCAAGATGGTTAAAAGTCTCTCAGATTTCCCCAGTGCATGCCACAAATCCACTGAGGGGCAGCAGAAACTTCCTGGTCCTGAAAGGTCCATACCCCACATAAAGGCCCTTGAAAAGAAGCATACTCAGCTAGCTGTTCTGAAACCAAATGGCTAAAACTAGTTTTGGGTTTTGTTGTTTTTTTTTTTGCTTCAGACTTTTGGTATGCTCCATCAGTCCCAAATGAATTCATTAAACCACATTCTCAAGCAATTGGCTTCAAAGGGCCCATGTATAAAATTTAAAATCACACATACCTCTACATGCACGTATATGAAGGGCATACATATATAAAATACAAAGTGTGTTTGGGCTCCTTGGTTTGCACCAGTAAAATTCAGTTTTTATCTAACAGAATTGCTACATGGACACAGGACTAAGATGAATATATGTATTTAAGGATGGAGAAGAGAGAAAAAGGAAAGAAATAGTAAAATCCCCTCATAGCATCTTTACTACCATATGTAATAACAAGCACATTCCTGGTAACTCATACAACACAAAACACAATTTACACAAACATGATAATATAAAAATATGTCATTTCTCTTTATTGCAAGGGCCAAATGGTATATCATGTGGTCTCATGTCAATAGATTTAAAATATGAACCTCCCTGTGGCAATGCATTTGTGCACAGAAAAGGAAAACAAATTATAATTGTCAGACATTCAAGGAATGAAGTCCTTTGGTGGAACTTTAAAAAACAACACATTAAGAACAAAGGGGGAAAGAGCATATACTCAAACATATCTTAGAGATACAAGTTAAGTGAAAGAGAGGAAAGTGATAAACACAGCAAGTGAAAGGGAAGGAAAAGATCGTCTGAACAGTATACCAACAGCTCAGCATTAAAAGGCATATCTCTGTAATGGGGAAAGTAAAAAAAACTCTCAAATCATAAAATAAAATATGCAGTATAAAGAAAATGGTTGGACTCCATTTAACCAAATGTCACAAAGGTATCCTCAGAAATATGGGATGCTGAGAATGACTGAGAATCACTTTGCCACCTATGGCAATAAATTAGTATGTTCAGATTTTAAAATCTAAATGTTTAAACATCTACAGGGTAAAGTGATGGAAATCACAAGCCTAAAAATGGTCTGAAATCTGTAACATAATATTTTAAAGGGCCCGAGTAAAAAATATTTTTAAAAGAGCAAGTAAACATCAATGAAAAATCAGTTCACTTCAAAAAAACAATCCTAACCAGTTACTTAGCATCTTTAGAACTCAGTTTTCTTCTCTGAAAAATGCATTAAACTTAGATCAGCTGCTTTCTAACATCCTTCTCAGTCACTTAAAAGAAGGCGGCAGGTCTCTTTGGAATGACACAGAATGAAGAGACTGCACCTTATACAGGCATAATTTATCTCTGGAAAGATACATGAGAAATACTACTCTGGAGAGGGAAGTAGGAAAGCAGGGATAGGAAAAAGACTTGCTTTATACCATATTATACTCCTGTCTATCTTCCAAATGTTATACTCTGCACACAGATTACTCAATAAAGATGATTAGATATTACAAATGACATAAGTAAACATTTAGAGAAAGAAAACATGAAGTAGAGACATACAACCTCATCTTTCCCTTAAAATAAAATTGGAGCTATTAAACATAACTCCACATGACCTTTATACAGATACACACAACACCGGGGTCTATAATCTCAGATGTGTGCCAGGGTACAAGCAGCATGTTGCTTCTCTAGCAGGATCTCTGTTTAGCCCCTACTGACATCTTACACACAGGCTGGAGAGACCAGTGCCAGGCCTACTTACTATTTGTACCTAGCACAGTACTAGAATGGAACAGAATTCAGTCAATGAGAAGACAGTTCCATTTCTTTTAGAATCTCGCAGCCCTCCCTGTAAATAAACAGGGAACTAATACCCAGTAAGATTTGTTCTTGCCTGTCATCCTTCCTTCTACCTAGCCCCAAGCTGCACACAGCTCCCTCTAGTTACCATGGTTACAAGGGCAGCAGTAGCAGAGGAGGACCCCTACTGAGGGAAGAGGGAAAGGTACCACAATAAACAGCACCCAAGTCATTTAAAACGTCCTCTAAAAACGGAGGTTGACTGAAAGAGAGCAAAGCCAACACAGTGTCCTAGCAGCATTATCAATAAGGCTAGGTAGGTCAGGACAGCAATAAAGGCTTTGACGTTCAGGAATATTTGTGATTCTGGTTTGGCTTTAATTTAACCAAGTCTTCTGACCTGATGCAGTATCTTTTGAAGGTGCTGTGAAAGACAATCTGTTTTATGCTAAAACATATTCAGAAAAGCAAACCTAGTAGTAGTGCCTCAGCAGAAAAAGTCTTCCAATTCAAGATTCTATGGAGTATAATGGGATACTACACAAAAATTACATAAAAAGACCACTCATCTATCATAAGTGCCTTGCATTCTTGTTCTGATACTAATCTAATTCTTTAGCTTTTGATGAAACTAACCACTGCTCATGCCTGCCTTAAATGTCTTCCACCCTCTTAAAATCTGTAACAGCACTAGACTAATTCTTCTAAAGATGAGTGAATCACATTACTTTCCTGCTCAAAACCTTCACATTGCCCTGAACTCAACCTGACATTCAAGGCTTTCCAGGTAATAGTCCCAGTTTTCCACTCTTACCCCTCCCATTATTCACTATCAAGTAGCTCCTCCTGATTCTGGCCTTTGCCCAGGCTATTCCCTTCCTACTCCAGTCTTCAGCTCCCCTTGCTTTCCTATCTTTCAGCTGTCAAAGCCTTATCTATATCCCAGACCCACTTCAAATGCCTACTTCGGAAATGTTGCTTTAATTTGTTTTTATTCTT